CAAAATGTCACACAGAAACAAATCTGTGTGAAGCACAATAAAGCAAACAATCAAAATAAGAGCTGCTTGTATATAAAAAAACGAATTTATATATAACATACATATTTACTTGTACAAATATTTCTAGAGGTCTGATTTATGAGTGGTAGGAAATACCCCATTCTTCCACCTTTGTCTACAACTTCCTGACAAGTTTTCGGATAAATCAAGAAATGACTTCAGTTTGAAAACATGCTGAATGCATTCATATTTCAGAAGTTCCTGACACTTACTGTGTGTCAGGACTTTATGAACTTGAGGACTGAAAGGATTTCTTGGCCTGCTTGCCTGGAAAGTGCAGTGGTGCCTTGTAGACCTTCAGTCTTCATTGTTTTCAAAATGTCTTCTAAAATAAAATGAAAATAAACTGTAAAATTCCATTAAATCATTTGGTGAAGTGTGTATGATCATTCAACATTTAAAGCAATGATAGACAGTTTACAAATTTTCTTCATTTGGAAAAAATATATAGCAACACATTGTCTATTAAATGAAGTTGTACTTCAGACACACTGAAACACTGCATCTTCAAGATGCTACTGAAAATACTAATCAGAGTATATGGCCTGCTTTGTAGTGGTAGCTTACCCTAGATTCAACAACAAAAAAATCAATTAAATTGTTATTATAGTAGATGCTCAGTTTGTTATTTGCTTGGCTCCAGTCCCTGTCCTATATTCTCCCTTATGGATGAAAACTGTCTGTGATGATATGGGGAAACAAGTAGTGTCTAGCTGATTTTTCCCAGGAGTATTTGAAAAAAAACCTTTCCTATTATAAATAAAACTAATAAGACTGAACTAAAAAAAAAAAATGGACTTAACTTGGAAACGCTATACAGGGTTGCTGTAAGTTGGAACTGACTCAACGGCACTTAACAACAACAATCATGATGTGATTTGAGGTCCTGAGAATATAAGGCATAAGATAAAAATCAAACAAGATGTAGAGAAAAAGAAGAAAGACTATGGTCAGTTTACTTTGGAATGAATCTAAAAACCAAGATATTAAGTCCATATAATGAGACAGCTTTCATGATAAAACTTCAGATGAATGAAAGAAAATATAGTAAAATCACCAAGGGTGTGGATAGTGGAGAGAGAACTCAGTACTAAGGGTGAGGTTTTCAGAAAATGAAATGAGAGATTTTGTGTGAATCTTTGTTTATGAATAGTGGTTAAAATGCAAGGAAAAAAACATTTTAAAAAAGACAAAAATATACCTCAAAAAAATCTCAACATGAATGTATGTATTTTTGGTAATTAATTCTATTAACAGCCGAGGATGTGATATATTTCTTTCCACATTAACCTTTGGTTTCAGTAAATACATAAAGATAAAATCATCTGTATTACCTGGATTGTTTTCTTTAATGGTAACAAGATAGAATAATCCTCTCGATGAAAGCAGATCTGCAGCCAGTGGGAAGAATCTATCCATAACTTCACGACCATTTCTGCCACCTGCCCAAGCTGCCTCTATTCCATGACTTCCCACCTATGACCAATTAGAAAGAGTGTTTCTTTGTACTAAAGTTAATTTACATTTCGGACCCAGATTATACATGAAGTCAAGAATCAAAAGCCGAATCTTTTACACAAATAATATTCACCAAACAAGTATATGCTTTGTATTTATTTAAATATTGATGAAGAGATAGCAAAGTAAAAGGCAAGCCTGGATTCTGATTACTTAGCTAATGTGACATCGGGTTAAGTTAGAAATCTTTGTTTTCTCCCTTATCTGTAAAATCAGAGAAATAATAATAAATTTTATTCACTATTAGGAATAAATGAAATATATTTAGAAGTTTTTAAGAATAGTACCCTACACGTTTTTGTTGTTAAAGGTACTGTCGCGTCAGTTCCAATTCATAGCAACCTTCTATACTCAACAGAATGAAGCACTGCCCAGTCATGTACCATCCTACTCTACACATAGAAAGAATTACAAAGTTACTAAGTTGAGGGGCATTGGTAATAGTTATACTTAATAGAATTAGAAACAAGAAGTGACAGCCTGTATTATAAGAGACCTTAGCTGAGAGTCCTGGTGTGATGCCGTAGGATAAGCACTGGACTGCTAACCGCAGTTCACACCCACCAGCTGCTCCTTGGAAATCCTATAGCAGGGTCACTATCAGTTGGAACCAACTCGGCATCATTTAACAATAACTTTGCTCAAACAAAGTTTCAAAACGTCCCACTGCATCTGGGTTTCGTCTGGATTATTTAAAGTATGAATTACACAGACCTTCTCTTAGTAATCCATTTATTATATAAAGGGCATTGAAGCAAGCAATTTTTCCCCTAAAACAATCTAATTATATTCTAGAAAGGAAACTTATGAATTTAGAAATCTTTGCCATTATATTTTGTTCCTAAAATTAAATAATATTTTAAATAAATTGCTCAAAGATTAACGTTAACATAACAACTTTCTATTTCCTTCTATGGCCTGTATACAATTACTCATTTCGCTTTTATTCATTTAACATGGCATGTATTAACCGATTACATTTTTCCTTTATCTTTATATCCATATGCATATTTAGCTTTATAAGAGATAAATATATTCATATGTGTGCTTTTAAAAAAGCTGCATTTTTTCCCTTTTAACTATTTTACTTGTCTGCTTTATTTTCCCCTCCCAACACACACACCCTTTTTCTTTTTTGTCAATGTTTTACAAAGATAGGATTATACTCTACATTCTTAATTGCATCTTGCTTTTTTCTCATTCAACAATACTTTTTAGAAATCTCTTTATGAGATTTGATATAGTTTTAATTAATTCTTTCAATGGTTATATAATATTTTGTGGGAAAATCTATTCACTGTATCCATTTGCTTAATTTCCTTTGTATCAATTTCTAATTACAAAGTGGCTTCAAAAAGTTTGTGGAAAAAACCCATTTTTTTTTGGTAAGTTTTTACTGTGAACTGAGTGATAGTTTACATGGGAGAACATCAATTGGATTTACACCATCGTTTCATTGCAATGATTACAATCTCCTCTGTGCATCATTTTTCAAAAGTATTTGCTTCCATTTCCTGTTTTTTTTTCTTTTTTTTGGGGGGGGGGATATACACAGAAACACTCAGGAATAAATAATTAATTTAAACAACCAAAGGGCACATTCTGCAAGCCTGCTTCGTGGCCGCCAGCACTCAGTCCCCCTCCTTCCATGAGTCCAGAGTCCTCAGCTGCTCCCTCTCTCCATGTCCTCATCTCTGCCTCCATCTCTGGTGTCTCTGCTTCTCTAAATAGGGTACAGTACTCTGCTTGTGCTCGTCTACTTGATGGTCCTAGGATCCTGTTTCTTGACTGTAAGATTAACTACTCCCTCCTTTTTGTTACAAAACTTCTGTCTTTACAGTTGTGAGAGTCACTATTAGTCACGATAACAATTACTCACTATTGAATCATAAGAATCTTATCTCTCTGTCTCTTTTCACCAGACCCATCTAGATAAGATGAAAACTCTTCAGTGGGGACTCACCTAATTTTCCCTGCATACTCTTAAACTAAACTCCCTCTTGAAAACCTGTAAGCTAGTCACTTCATGCCTTTATCACCCCCACATTTTAGGTAGGCAATGCCTAAGTTGCCAAAACCCATTATTCTTTAATTCCATTTTTTTCCCACAATTTTTTTGATGCTCCTTCATACTCTCATACCTGTCATAAACTTTATCAATACAACTTTTCACAGTTAACCGTATTAGGAAATTTAGAAGTTCTATTTTGCATCAAGACTTTCCTCCTGGAGACAAGACAGCCCTTTCTGGCATCCACAGACTTCCCTTTGTTTTTCTCCTGGGTTGAATTTCCACTTTTCCTGAGTTTGCTTAGTTTACTCCTTTATTTTGGTGGAGTCCATTCTCTAGATGTTGAAAGAGTCATGATGACGACACTCCTCCCCACCCCAAAACAAATACAAACCACAACAAGTCCACAAACCAACCTATGGCCACTCAGTCAATTCCAACTCACAGCGACTCTATAGGGCAGAGTTGAACTGCTCTTCAGGGTTTCTGAGATTTTATGGGAGCAGACAGTTCATCTATCCCCCAATGATTTGGACTGCCTACCTTATAGCTAGAACTGTTAAAAGGGAGTGGGAGATGAAGCTTGAACTTCTCTTACTTCACCAGGAGTCACCATTATCAATATCAGCCCAAGGCTGATTCTTACGGGGCTGAGGTCAGCCTTCTACCTTCTATTCCAAATTGGACACCAACCATCCCTTCACAACATTCAGCTGAGTTTGATAATTCATTGCAATAACCACACAGAACTCGACACCACATGCACGGTTATGAGGTGTATTAGGAATGGTGGTTGTTGAGTGCCGTGGAGTTGGTTCAGACTCACAGCGACCCTGTATAGAGTTTCCAAGGAGCAGCTAGTGGACTTGAACCACCGATCATGTAGCTGGCAGTATAGGGCTGATCCTATAGCACTACACCAGGAGTCCATTAGGGATGTTTGTTAAGTGCCATCAAGTACGTTCTGACCAACAGTGGCCCTATATAAGATTTTTGAAGAGTGGCTGGTAAGCTTGAACCGCCAACCTTGTGATTCAAGCTGACATTAGCTCACAGTGCCACATTCAAGGTCAGAAATGCTCAGGGGACAGTTCTGCCAGTCAGGGCAGCCTCTCCTCATTCATTTCTGCAGACAGGTCTCTCTCTGGTCCTTAGTTCCTTGGCCTGGCTTCTGCCCTGCTCTGGCAAGGTTACAAAACTCTTTTAGAGCTGCTGATAAAATGCTCAGAGGGCACTCCACTCTATCTCTGTGTGTAAGGATACTTAACTTCCAAATAGTAGGTGCCTGGAGGCATGCTACTCCTCAAGTGAGCTTCCTGTTCAGAAGTGGTGGTGGTGGTGATTATGTGCCGTAGAGTCGGAACTGACCCATAGAGACCCTGTACAGGGTTTCCTTGGCTGTAAATCTTTATTGGAGCAGACAGCCTCATCTTTCTCCCACGGAGCAGCTGGTAATTTTGAATTGCTGACCTTGCGGTTCACAGCCCGATTTGTAAGTACTCAGCTTTATTTGCTCTGTGGGGGCTGGGTGATCTGGCTCTTGGTTTTGCTGCTGCTGTTACTCTGCCAGTGTTACAGCTTTCTGTCCCTGGGTCATTCAATGCACACGGGTCTCAGGTTCCAAAGGGTGCTCTCCACTCCTGGCCCTTCTTCTTTGAAGTCTCCTCCTCCCCATCCGAAACAATCACAAAAGAATCATAATATCCTACTGGTATATTCTCCCACCTTCTCTTGCCTAGATCCATCAGGAAAAAAAAATCCATCTGGTGGGAGTTACAAAGACTGTGTAGACGAGCCATCTGAAGTAGTTCACTACACTGCAGCAGCCCAACGTTTAACCAGCTACACCTTTGCCAAATCTCTTGTCACTTGGCTTCATTCTGAACCCAGTTTATATGTCTCCTCAAGGATATTTAGCCATGTTTATCTGGTGCCCTCTAGAAAACCAATTAGCATCAACCACAAAGATGTCAGCTTGAGGACTAAGGTGCACCTGACCCAAGTCATGGTATTTTC